ATTCAAAATTTCCTACCAACTGAAAATATTAGGAGTGTCCCGCGCGCTCATATGACCTATGCAGTTGCGAGCGCCGTAAAACACTATACAAAAACAAACCAAAAAACACCCTTATTTTGAGAAATTTGACGTAATTTTTTTTATAGTTTCACCACATGTCAAGTTTTTTCAAAAGCAATTCTTATTTGGGTAACGATTCCGAATAATCTTATGATATTGATAGAACAGATAGAGCTTTAATTGGTTTCCTACCTCTTGGTCTTAGTAACTCAAAACGGCTAAAACTATCAGACAGAACTTTGTGATTCGTAGGTAGCGATTTGTCAAGTTGTGCACAGATACAAACTACATACCTAGCCTATATCTTACTCTTTCCCTCAACCCCTCGCACAGAACAGAAATGAAAAGAAAAGGAAAAGGGGTGGGGGGATTTTTTTTTTAAAAGGAAAAGAGACAAGGACCCGGGGACGCAGATAGACAAACCGACCGACAAACATCCAGCTAGAATTACCAACAGAGGGATAGATAGATAGGCATTTTGACATGAGTCTTACTTGTCAAGATTTTAACGTCCATGTCTATCTATATTTACAGATCTATTTATCTTGTTCGATCAATTGTAACTTCTCGTCTCTTACATGACTTCCCGGTGTTAGATACGGATATTACTCATTAGAAAATGAAAATCAAACACAAACAAAATCTCCCTCCTTTGCCTCCCCTAGGCGGCGGTGTCTCTCCGAAGCCTTCACAAGAAACAGATTTATCATCAGGACTTGAGGCCAGAGAACATCCTCCTCAATACCCGTCACGTCGCCTTCATCTCTGACTTTGGCGCTGCGTGTCTACTCCTTGAGGGATGTGACAAGGTGGACACGTGGACAGCTGCACTTGGTTTCCGGGGACCCGAGGCGGACCAGGAGGATGGTCAGTTCTGTCCATTCCAACTGGACATCTACAGCCTGGCTGTCAGCATGTGGCAGGTATTGTCTGGTCTGTGTCCAGTCAAGAACAAGCCTTTTGATCACCTAGACAACATCCCCCCACAGTACGCTGCCTTGTTAAGGAACCTTCTTCTTCCGGACCCCGACAGGAGATGGACCCTGGACAAGTTCCTCACTGAGGCCCTGGAGCTGCACCCGGACCTGTCCTGTTTTCTCTGAGACGTTTGGATCCCGGCTGTGGCGTTCTAAAGATAGTTCAAAGACAGTCTTATTCTTCGCACGTCTTGACTTCTTGCTGTTGAGCTTTCTAGTTTGAAGCTTTATACAACGCCTTTGATAAACTGATGCCAATGT